GTGTATTATACGTGAAGAAACTTTAACGTTTTTGTTCTCTCTCTCTCTCATATTCTTAATTGCAAGTCTCAGAATAAGCAGTGAATGAATCCGGAGTTATTTATCACGAAACATGTTAACATATATATATATATATATATATATATATTGAATGTTGTTAGCCTACAACCGTAGGAAGTACACTATGATTTATTTTTATAACATTTAGGAAGAAGGCTTTATGAAAGATAGGAAACAAAAGGATATATTTCAAGTTTCGATCACGGATTGATATCAGTTAGAGAATCATTGAAAACCACCAGGGAGTGCTGGACAGCTGTTTCGTCCTTGTTCGAGACTCTTCATCAGTACGAACCGCCAGAGTTCGAACCAAGGACCTTCCGGTTACAAGGAAAGCTCATAGACCATTCAGCCAGTGGGACCAAACGCAACAGCCAGCCCATGAATTATAACTTCTACCTATTCGTAATTTCGGCGCAGCCACCAGTCAATGTCTAGTGGCTGAGTGTACTACGAGGTCCTAGGTTCGAGCCTAGTAGGTACATCTTGTCGAAGAGTTCCAAACTAGGACGAAACAGCTGTCCAGTACTCCCTATTGGTTTTCACTGGTTCTGAAACAAATCTAATGCCTACAAATTATTTCCTGAGAAGGGTATATGGAATTAAGTGTCACTTTTATATTCTTCCTGCTTATTATTCTTATTCATTTGTATATCGATTCTATGGAAATCGATCGATAAAAAACACACTTGTACAAACACGTGCTCAGAAATGGTGTACAGCAGTTCACCTAGTACATTTTCTATGCAAGGTTTAGAATACACATATATAAAAAGGAACTAGGCATCTTATAAACATAAGATTTAATATGTTTTCTTCGCATATTACACAAGCATGCTCTGTTACGTCTACTATGCTTAGCTGATTACTTTTAAACTGGATACTCTTAATCTAATCTGATCCATACAACAGTACTGTGGTCAATCCTCTTACAGCAGTTATTATATAGATTTTTGTAAGGATTTGATTTTCTTCAAGGTTAACCGAGGAAAAATTGAAAATCAGGGAGTACTAGATGGCTGTTTTGTCTTACTTTTGAACTCACAGGCAGTACGTCAATGGAGACCATCCGACTGGATAACATTAGTTGATGGTCGCACTAAGATTCACGAATTGGTGGGAGTTAGAATTCATCGGCTGGCCACTGAGTCGGGTCCCAGTGGCTGAATGGTCTACGAGCTTCCCTTGTAACCGGAAGGTCCTTGGTTCCAAAAGTGGCTCAGTGACAAATTAGGACGAAACAGCTGTCTAGTACTCCCTGTTGGATTCCAATGGTTGCCTAACTGATATCAGTCCGTGGTCAAACTTGATATATGTGTATTTTCTTTATTGTATCAACTGATTTTTATCCCCTGGTTTTCCAGTATAGCTTCTCAAAATATTTCTGATAAGTCCTTCTCACATGTACTCACCCAGTCACTCAATAAATTCCATTTTGTCTCTTTATTATACATCAGATGACCAGAAAAGATCAGCAACAGGGAGGGATCTCTGGCAATGAGCGAACCAACCCAGCAGGAACCAACTGTGCAACAAATATGCAGGCAGAAATGGAGGTGGATTGGCCATACTCTGAGAAAACAAACCATCAAGTGACATCACACATCAAGCCATCACTCTAGTGGAATCCGAATGGGAAATGGCGAGTTTGTCTCCCAATGGTGACAGTGAGGAAGTTATGCAAAGAGGAAATGAAAGCATATGGGCAGACGTGGAGTCAGGTGAAAACGTTGGCGGAGAACCGAAGGCAATGGAGACATGCGGCTGAAGCCCTATATTTCTCTAGGAGCTAAAAGAGATAATAATAATTATACATCTCTGCAAATCTCTATGAATTTACTACCGGACGATAATAACGATTACTGGTAATTTTTTTTTACTGGAACTCATAAATCTTTTAACATTACTTTCACTACCAGCAAACTACCAAATAGTTACTTCAACACTTTCGACTTTAACCTTTTCGTAAAAGCGATCATCAGTAGAATTAGACAGAAATAATAAGTTCTAGCAAGATTCGAACTAAACAACCTTGTTTTAGCCAATCTGAAATAGTGATATTTATTCACCAATAAGAAATGATTCCTTTCGCAATGAAGTCTTCATATTCAGTTGAAATTTCTTTAACAAATTCCAAAACGAAGATACAAGCAGAATAGGAAAAAAACAAACAAACAAACACAAAAGAAATGAGAGTTTGTCACAAAGAGAATAAAAAGAAAAAGAGAAAGAACTTTACAAATTACACTGAATTATGAATAATCTGGTGTCTTCCATACATTGAAACAAAGTCCTTTCAACTTAAAATGGAATGCAGTACCAGGTTCATGGGAATAAGAAGCCCAAAATGATCCATTCAATATCCATACATGCCATGATCTACCAAATGTTGCGTCTAGAAATTCTTTCAGTCTTTTCGATAGTAATTTTGTATTATCCACACCGATATCTTCGATTAACGATCTTGCTTCATTGCTAACATTGATTTGTTGTGGTAAACTCATATCGCCGGCAATGTATTCAACATCTCTGCCAAGTCTAAACAAGGCTGACTGTTGTTCAATTGTTATCCTTCTTTGTTTAACACTAGAATTTTTTTTAAATAGAAAAAAAGAAAAGAATATCGGAACAAAAACAAAAAAGAGCAACTCTTCACTTATTATAAATATTTAATTGTAGAAATAAATAAATAAATAAATAATAAGCGAAAAGTAACACCATGAATACTACTCACCCTAGATAATGATGTATTTTTTAGTTTTCAAGAGTTAGTTTTCAGGGATTTGATTTGTTCAAGTTTGCTCACGGACTGATACAGAAAGGCTTAGGCACCAACTGGGGCTCGAACCGAGCACCTCCTGATTATAGGTCAGTCTTATAGAGATCATTCAGCCACTGGGACCTGGTCCAGTGGCCAACCCATGAATCCCAACTTCTACCGATTCATGAGTTTAGAACCACAACAAGCCAACGTCATCAGTTAGTATCTGTTCCTGCTCCTAGCCGTGTACGACTTCTCCCTAGAACTCCAGTCAACTTCATCCTGTAACCCGAAGTCACTCATGAGCATGAAATTGATTTTTTTTCAACATTCCATAATATACATATGAATATGATTCGAAGAAAATTCATATCGTGTTCTTTAATTTTATTATGGTAAATCGATTTTTACGAACAAATTCCTTTGTGTGTCAGTAACCCGCTGGTAGAATGATTGCCAACCAATCTTGCGGTCTGGGTTCGATTCCTAACCAACGACGCACTTCTGAACCTCTCTTAGTTCCCTAAAAGAAGGTAAGGTTGTTTATGAGGTTAGAGACCCTACTGCATAAAATACCACTGCTACTGATACTTCTAAAGCTTTAAGCCCTATGTACCATTTGGAACGTAAGCTAACATATTTACACAGTGATTGATAATGCAGAGTTTACAAATATGTCTTGCATCTATATGATGGGTATGCCTAAGCCAGATATGAGTAGAGCACTCTGTCTTTATATACATAAATATATATGTAAAGACAGTTGCAGCGAAGAAAATTTTCTTTTCGACGAAATCATCAACTAGGCTGTACATTCGTGTATTTATTTTAAATGGGTGGGAAAGTTCCAGAATAATTCCCAGTCAACGGTCAAATTAATAAAAATACAATTAAGAATTAAAATGCCATAATAAACAGGGGGACGGATAAAACTCAAACAAAGTAGCATCATAATTACTGAGAAGATTGACACATATTGTGCAATTAGCGGTTAGAAATGTAGAAATAACAAAAATAGACAGGATGGTTGGATGAAAAAAACCTAGTGGGATCATAACTGATGCGACGAATCATTGTTTATGCAGTTAGGGATTAAATATGTAGAAATAATATAATGACAAAATAGGCGGGAAGTTTGGATAAGAAAGGCAATGCAAGGGTCAAATTAATAAAATTATAATTAGGGCGTAGCTGAGGCACTAGCCATACAAAAGCTCAAACTCACGCTATGTATCCAAAAGAAATACGTCCAACCCTTGTCCCTGCCATAGCCATCATAAACAGGTAATTCTTTTAATAGTGACTATCCAATTGCCTTTCTTATCCAAACTTCCTTTTTATTCATGTTATTTTTAAATTTTTCTTAATCCCTATTTGCCCTACCATATTTTCATATCCAAAAATTCTGGCTATTTTTGTTATTTCTACATTTCTAACCGCTAATTGCACAATATGTGTCAATCTTCTCAGTAATTATGATGCTACTTTGTTTGAGTTTTATTCGACCCCCTGTTAATTATGACATTTTAATTCTTAATTGTAATTTTATTAATTTGACCCTTGACCGGGAATTATTCTGGAACTTTCCCACCCATTTACTATAAATACACGAATGTACAGCCTAGTTGATAACTTCGTCGAAAAGAAAATTTTCTTCGCTGCAACTGTCTTTTCATTATTCCCTATGATCAAATATGTATATTCCGTGATATATATACATGTATATATATATATATTTTCAAGTATTGGTTTTTTAGGGGTTTTATTTGATTGGATGGAGGATTGCATCATGAGCTGACATCAGTTAGAGAACCACTGGAAAACCTTCAGGGAGTACTGAACAATTAACTTTTTCGTCCTAGTTTGGGACTCTTCAGCAGCACGCACCCACCTGGGTTCGAAACCAAGGCCTTCTGGTCACAAGGTCAGCAAGCTCGTAGACCATTGAGCCACTGGGACCCGATCCGGTGGCTCGCCTTGTAACCAGAAGGTCCTGGGTTCGAACCCTGGTGGTGGGTGCATACTGCCGAATAGTCCCAAACAAATCTGACGAAACAGCTGTCCAATGGTTCTCTAACTGATGTCAGCGCATGATGAAATCCTCCAACCAATCAAAATAAATCCCTATAAAAAGAACCAATACTTGAAAATTCATCTGATTCTCACTAGCGACTGGCCCTATTCAGGTAGGTAGTTACCTGGCGTTCTAGTAGGGAAGCCATGACCAGTAGGATACAGCAGGTTGAAGATGAGGCAGTAACTCATCGAAGAAAACATTGCGAAATGGTCGTTAATTGGCAGGAGTTGGAATTCATGCACTCACTGGCCACTGAATCGGGTCCCAGTGGCTTAATGGTCTACGAGCTAGCTCGTCTTGTAACTAGAAGGTCCTGGGTTCGAACCCCGGTGAGTGGGTACTGCTGAATAGTCCCCAACTAGGATATATATACATATCGTGTAAATTTGTCAGTAATCCGCCTACTCTGCAGTCACTCATCGTTGTACAATATATGAAAATATAAATGAAATCTAAATAAAGGCGTCTTTCTAGAATCCTTCCACATACTACTTACAAATTTAGAATACTACTACTAATAGTAATCTGACTTCTTTTATCATAAGTAACAAAAACAAACAAACTATTTACATCCAATTATCTAATTTCAATCAATTTCAAAATGATCACAGCATTTGTTTTTATGATGATGAACAAATAGAATCATTGGAAAAAAAAATTTGTTTCACCAAACTAAAGATAAAAAGGCAGGCGCAAAGTTAATAATACAAACACAAGAAGGCACAGAGATGTAGAAGAAAACAGGGAACTGGTTTGTTTTTTTTTGATGCATAAAATTTTCAGTTTTTCAGTTAAACTTGAACATGTAATTTTCTGGTGTTTTCCAAACTGAAATTAAATACTCTTTCAATTTAAATTGAAAGGCAGTATCAACTTCATATTCATAGGTGCATGAATAAGAATTAAGCCCCATGATAACATGCCATGATGGACCAAATAGATTGTCTAAAAACTTTTTCAATTTTGTAGCAATATCTAACACATTGTCTTTGCCATACTCTTCTATTAATGATCTTGCCTCATTGCTAACATTGATTTGTTCTGATAAGCTCATATCGCCTGCAATGTATTCAACATCTTTGCCAAGTTTAAAATATCCTGATTGTTGTTGAATTGTTTTCCGTCTTTGATGTTCACTGTAATATATACATATATTTAGAAAAGAAAGAAATTTAAATTTAAATTTTTTTTGTATATGAAAAGAGAAAGTGAAGGTTGACTCACTGTGTTAGATGTTGTTGAAAAGAAAAGTGGAAAATATGCCCGGTTAACAATCCTTCGAACTACTCATATTATAGACAAGCTTGAATAAATCTATGTTGGAAAGACACTATCTATCTGTGCTGTGACAATGAGCCAACAGTTCTCAACGCTTAGGTCACGTTTCTCTGATTCTGCCTACCATCTAATAGCTAGTTCTGCTGTATTCCGCGTTTGTGTTTTTTTATTCGTCGAAGTGTGCTTATTCATTTCTTCTCATATCTCAAATAAAGGTTATTTTAAGATCAAAGTAGGGAAAAAATAAATCGATATGAATATCTTAAAGTACTTCAAGATGGTCGAGGAAGAAGAAGCCGTAGAAGAAGAAGAACAGGGGGAGGAGAAAGAAACAGTCTGTTTAGCGCGGTAGGCGAAAGTTCTTCCTGGAAATATTTCAAATAGATTCTACCTCAAATGTCAAGAAAAAGAAAGGATGTGCCCTAGTGTTAGTTAATATTTGATTGTTCAGGTCAATAGTCGTAATAAAATTAACCAACTTACAAATCTTCTTTCTTGATACCCAAAACCTCCAAAAATCTATTCAGCGTTATTTGATGCGTCCTTTCTTCGGTAAATAACTTTTCCCATCTCTAAATCAATATCAGAACAAAAAGAATATGAATAAAAGGTAAGTAATTTCAGTAATATATTTTATGCAAAACTGTGACGGGAAAATTTGTCTGGAAAATCCCTCACAAACAGTCTAATCACAATTTTTTTATACTTATTTGGATGTTTCAACTAACTGTGTAATTATTATCTCCTTCTTCTGCAAGACTGCATACCATGATTTTGACATTTGCATATTACACATTGATTTGATCTATATTTGTCATTGTTCCTGTTTAACCTCTAATTCTAATGCTTCTCTTGCTGGCGGCTATATAATGATAATGACAATGCATTGTTTTATGATGTGATTTTGTTTGAATGAATCAAGGTCATTCTGACCTTGGATTGTCTGGCGGAATTTTGTTTGGTGTATGTTCCTTGTCGAAAGAGTTTTGATCCCGTTTTGTTGGGACTATTCTACTTGATTCCCAGGTACTTTCTACGGTTGAATTTGAGTTAACAAATTTTGTTCCATTGTGCTTGTTTTGTACATAGAAAATTAGCTGAACTGTATAGCTGCCTAATGACACTGTTGAGGTAAATTTGATCTGTTTTGATCGGTTCCCATTGTACATGATACTCCAGTGGGTGCGTACTGATGAAGAGTCCCAACTAGAAACAGCTGTCATATTCCCAGGTTTTCCAATGGTTCTCTAACCAATGTCAGCTCATGATGAAATCGTACAAGATGTTTTTTATTGTTGAGTAGAACCACACAGATCCTTTTGTTGTCTTTCAGGAGTTTTGTGACTGTACATTTCTCAAGGAAGTTTTGAACAGCTATCCCGTAGGACATAAAGATCAGTCCTGTGAGTTTAGACCACAACGAGTCCATTTTTGGTCGCTACCTTTGTTCAATGAGTTGCCTTTTAGAACTTTGTTATAAAATAATAGTCCTATATATATTAGTGACACGTGGTCTAATAAATCGATAGAGCTAAGTAATATCACAATGACCAGGAGTATTCAATCGAATAATTTCAATTAACGCAAAATTATTGTCTAACTCAAAAGTACAAAGTATGCATAAACACATCTTTATGTTTCAGTTTTAAAAATTGATTTTTAAATGATCATTATATATATTGATTTTCTTAAATAAATAAAAAAATAAAAAGTTATAATGAATAAAGTGAAGTTTATGCTTAACGATCTCAGAATACAAGCGAATAATTTACTAATTCCATGCTGAAAATAGTGTTGATATTCCTTGGAAAATCATCATTAAGCCTGAAGAGGTGTTCCACTTAACACCAGGTAACCCAAATGTATTCAATTCAATTTGTATCTAATAGCAGCATAAGGTATTTCTGGTCACAATTGGGTTAATATAGTATAGTTTAACGCCAAGATAATAATTATAATAATAGTAACAATATATATGTGATTCAAAGGCAGTAAGTAGAGTTTAAATGAAACATAAATGGCGTAAAAGTGTACTTCTCTCTTCCTGGAGTAGAGTAAAAGAGTGCAGAACAATAATGCTGAGGGGTATTGGTGTCAGTTCACATGAAGAGACTGACTCAAATGACATAAGGAAATACTCAGGATCAGGATAATTACAGTTTATCATAAAAGTGAGTATTTTCGGAAAAAAAAAATCAACTTCGTTAATACGCTCATGATCTGATTGTCTCTTTGCCAGTTGTGTCACGATCTGACTGTTTCAAACTGATCGAATAACTTTTTGACGGACATAAGTTACTGAGTGGTTCAAGCTAAATGGCCGCACGTTAAATCCCTGAACATGTCAGACAGTTCACTTCATCTTCACACGTGATCTGCGCGAACTTGTTCATTCACAAGATACTTCTAGTGTAGGGAGGGGGGCACTGAAATGGAAACTAAGTCAAGCATTAAATACCTTGGAATAGTTCTTCCCTCTGATATTTCTTCGTCATCCCAAATCTTGTCGATTTCTAAGAAAATGTTCCATCTAACCTACTACACATTAAGAAGTTAAGACAATCAGGTATCCCTCAATCTCTACTTTTACAATTTGTTAACTTTTGAATCTTACCTAGTGTAATTTATTGCCCCCCCCCATCAGTTTTTCCTGGGTTACTCAAAAAGGAATATTTCACATTTCGAGGGCTATTAAAGGTTGTCAGTAGGACAAGTAATGCGCCACTGAGTCATCTGGTTACTAGTGTAATTGATAGACGCATGAGCTCATGTGATAAATGCTCCAAAATCTACATTGAATGACTTTCAACACTGTCTCTATTCAAAACTATCGATGTTGTTAGAGATAGTATTAAGCCAGAAGCCCATAGCTTGCTTTGTTATTAGCAAAATAAATGGCTCTTTGACCTTTTGACTTTGTTGTTATATATATATATATATATATATATATATATACGGTTGTAGCCAGTTCTGATTAATCCTGTTCTGTAATTCAATAGAAGGTGTTTCCAAATCAGACAAAGTAATAATAATTTGCTTGACTCCAAAAAACAGTACTTATTATACAGCGTGGAATTCTCAGCATTTCCTGCCATAGTGAATCTAATTTACTCAGAAATACAAATTAATAATGGTAACTTATTGTGGCATTAGTAGTACCAATAAATTCAAAAATGTACAAAAAGTATAAAATGATGATAATGAAAAAAATAATAATATTTCGATAGAGAAAGAAAGACCAGATTTGCAGTATAAAATGTTGCTATCATTCTATTTCACAGGTTCTCATCAGCTGCAAACTACCTGAAATTACAATGGTTATAAATATAAATATATAAATATAATACGGCACTACATGGACTATAAGCCAATCGAAATCGGATAAGTACCATGCTGATGTTACGTCCAACTGCATTTATAAATTTACATGCACCTGCGGCAGCAAGTACATTGGAAGGACAGAAAGCGTATTTTTCTGAGCACTATTCCCTAAGTTCGCTACTTTCTGTCAACTGACATCATGTAAAATTTGCAAGTATGTTAAAACTTTTCTGTACATGAACTTAACAATACTTTATTTAGGCTGTAAGCAGCAGTTGATGAGAAGCCAACGAAATAAGGAATGATGGTACCATATTATTTTGCAGAAGTCACTGTTGTTCTTGATTAATTCAAATTCATAACAGGGAATAAATGTATGAAAACTATATATATACGATATGTCTGTGATGGTGTCGACTGGATTCTTCAAAAGTTTAGTGCTGTTTTCAATTAATTCACTGATTAGAACTGTATAATACAAATCTTCAATACGTTAAAGAAGTAGTATATATTCCTTCAAGCCTACAGCCAAGCCCAGTGGTGGCTGAGTCTTACCAAGTGTGTGTGTGGTAAGCAAATCAAGCATGATTTGTGTTATTGAATTACTAACATATAGATAGATATAAGAAAAAAATCTATCTCTTCGGTTATCAAGATTACGTAATCACTCAAAATCATTAATAATGCACATATATATGTATATGCATAGAAAGTGTTGTGTTTTAATTAGTAGTATAACTTACTTCAATCATTTCTGGATCAAGATGATGCACTCTTGTGTATTCTTGCAGTTCACTTCTTGAAATGACTCCATCATAATTTTTATCAATTTTACAAAATACATCTATGAAAGGATCCATTTCGTTGGTTTTACCGCTTTAATTATAATAATAATAATAATGCGGTGGTATATATTATATATATACTACTTTTATAGATATATATTATGTAATATATTTTAAAGACGACACAGACACTACTCTCAGTGGAAATAAAAAAGAGAACTGCTATAAAGTGAAATTTCTTGGGTTATATATATATATATATATATAAGAGCCAATTAAGGTTACTAGATTTGAGAAGGAGCATAAAAGTCCATCTTCATTATTATTATTATATTATTATTACTAGTATTAGTATTAGTAGTATTAATACCACTTCTATTACAACCAATAGGACAAGTAGAGTACATAAAGTGAATATAGATAATTTCTACAAATCACACCTTAAACTACATCACATCAAGTTTCTGCATACCTGGCAATACATATACACAGTTTTTAGTGGAATATAAACAATGTGAAACGTAGGCAACACATTGTTAAATTAAATTAGATGCACACTACTTACTACTACTACTACTACACAACTAGCTAAATGCGAGAACGTTTGTTATAATTTGGATTGCTTTTTTGGTTGTTTGTTTGTTTTGATTGCTCTTTCTATAATTCATCTATTTAATCTGTGCGTGAATGTGAACGCACCAAGTTGTGTTTTTTTCATTTAAAAAAAAAAACTTGTAACTCTATTTCAAAGTTTACTTTGAATCCTACACAAAATTAATTACTCTTAATGAGATAACAATTATTATTATTATTATTATTATTATTCAGACAAAGATAAATAATCCCGACTTTAAGAATTTCGACAAAAGAAGGCGTTATCGCTTGCGTAGTTTATCACAGTCATGAATGTAAGCCACGTTTAATATATATATATATATATGTATATATGCATGCCAAAAATAATTCTTACTGAAAGAAAATCCAATATACAATTCAATTATATTTACAGATCCGATTTTTTTAAATATATATACGTGTATATGTAGTAGAGAAGATGTGTAGCTCAGGTGGATGATTTGCAATTAGTAGTGTTCTCTGAGCTGGTCGGTTTAGTTGCGGAGCTTTCGTCCTCCTTGCGCAATTTTTAGCAATCATCCATACAGATGTAAAGATGGTTGCCAGGAGACGCAATTCTATCATTTAAATCAGTTCACTTTTTGCAAAAAATTGCGCTGAAGATGTAGTTCAGAAGGACGATGAAAGGTCTGAAACTAAACCAAACAGCTGAGAGAACGCCACTAATTGAAATATATATATATAAATGCATTGAACGCTAGCAGCAAAATTTGTTAAAATAATACACCACGTACTCAGCCATTGTATTCTTTCTGATCTCGATCATTATGACGATCACGCTGAAGAGATCGATACAGAGCGAGAGAGTGGTATACTTTAATTCATTGTCAGTTGGATGCACTTCTACCACTACGACTACGTTGAGTATAGCATTTCTGAGGATGTCACCAGCAGAAATAGATGTACTGCTAAGTGAGATAGATAAAATAACAGCAGATGAAGTAAGTGCACAATCTGTGCCAGTATTAAAACGACAAAACTAGAAATAGAAGGCGTAAAACGCCTTAAGAATAACAAAGAAATAATAATCACTGAAATAGACAAAGGGGAATTCAGTAGTATTAGTATTAGTAGTAGTAGTATTAGACAAGTCAGATTATTTGGAGAAGGTCAGTATCCACAAACTAACAGGAACACATGATGATAAAATTAAGTTGACAGACAGTGTTAGGAATAAGATTAAGAAATCTGCAGCGGACTTTATACGCCGAATGGAACCATTCCTAGGTGAGTCTAAATGGGTTAATTTGTTGTCGAAAACTCATAATTTTCAAAAGTTAGTGTGTAAGGAATGATATCGGTGGGGTCTACTTGATCGGGGATGAGAACAAATACTCGCTGATGACATTACTGACTAGTGGTTGCGCTAAAATCACAAATTAGTAGAAGCTCGAATTTTATGAGTTGTCTATTCAGCTGGGCTCCAGTAGCCAAATGGTCCACAAGCTTTCATTGTAACTGGGAGGTCCTCGATTCGAAACCCATTGGGTCCATACCGGCAGTTGGTCCCAAATAAGGCCGGAACCAACGTCCAGTACTTCCAGGTGTTTTTCAATGATTCTTTAACTGATACCAGTCTGTAATCAAACTTGAAAAATGATGTTGTTAAAGATCATAAGTCGGGATATCCTATTGGACCTATAGTTGATTTTAGAAATCCATCTGGTTATAATTTACCTACCAGGAGATATGCTACAGCCGTGAAATGTTTAGGATTGGTAGAGACCATATCATACACAATAAAAGAAGGTAACTTTGAAATTCAAGAATGTGCATCTACCAATTCACCTGCTTGTGTGGAGCCAGGTATATCGGCCGTACTCAGCGTTCGCTATCCAAACGCGTCAACGAACATTTACCTTCATGGTTTTATAAAGGAGAAAACCGATGCCCCCGCAGCTCGATCCTTGAACATTTGATCGACTCTGGACACCAAGTCAAACCACAAATAAACTTCAAAGTTATCTACAGAATACAAGACAATCTTGCTAAAAGTGTACGGATCAAACTTCTCCACACCGCAGAAGCAATGGCAATTCATCTGCTAAATCCTGAACTCTGTAGACAAAAGAAATTCGTTCATTCATTAAATCTACAATGGACGTAATCTTTCTTAATTTCAGTCTTACTAATTGTATTATCTTGTCTCTTGCATTTTATTATTTCACATCTTCATTTATATTATTCTCTACCCCACCCTTTTGTAATCTCTACCCTCATTAACAATGTTACTAACTTGACCCACGTCCAATTTCTAGTCAACTGAGTTACGTCATCCGATTAACTTACTTAATTTTCAACTGTATTATTCTCTACCCCCACCTTTATTTAGTTTTAACCACCACTCATTAACACTGTTGCCAAACTGACCTACTCTGAATTGTACTCAATTGTATTACGTCATCCAAATCACTTAATCAATTTTATTTTATTTTCTATCTAATTAACGTTTGTTTCCAAGCCAAATACTACTTATATTGCGTAATAATCTAAACTTTATAAATCTAGTGTACACACACACAAACAAAATTATATATAAATGCGATTGTACAGCTCAGTGAATGAATTCGCCAAAAAGAGTCTCTTCGCTGAACGCCTTCTTTTCTTTTATAATTCAAGATATTTTTTTGAAATACTGAGGAAAACTAAGCCAACAATGAAACATATCCACCAGACAGTGCTACTAAATGTAACGGAATAACTATTGGGAAAATCCCTGCTCAACAATCCAATTACAATGTGCATGCTTATGCAGATGTTTCACCTAACTTTGCAATTATTATCTCCTTTTCCTCCTACACCGTATGTCATTCCTCTAACATTTGTATATCTTATATTGACTTGATCCTTATTATTTGTCTTTCACCCTCTTTCCTCTCAAATTTCAATGCTTTTTCTATATGATTATGTGGTGATAATGATAATGTGTTGTTTTATGACTGTGATTTTGTCTGAGTAAATGGAGGTGATTCTTACCTTGGACTGTGTGTGGGAACTGTTTGGTAATTCCATATTAGTTTGTTTATTAGATGTATCACACAGTAAAACATTAGTATTTACTGGATGACGAGGATTCGAACAAAATTTATTGTCCATTATCATATCAATTGTAATCACACGACTTCGAAACTTGAGTTTTATAGTTTCCTTTGTCCTCTACTATTTGTCGTTGGGGTAGTAGAATTTTCCAGATATCTGGGACAGGTGTTGAATCCTTCCAATTACATGTATTTACAGTTGATTCAATAAACAAAGCTTCCGTTATCAATCACTCCCTCCACCCTGTGACACTAGATTTTAAAACTGTCATCCTATCCCATCTTTTTGTATGGTTGTGTGTGACTGCATGTAGTGCTATAGCTGAACTATTCTCTAGATTTTTATCTTATTTGGATCAACCAGTCTAGATTTTGCTGCTAGGTTTTTATGCTCAGCTAGTCTGACTGCCCCTGCTCTACTAGTTTTGACTTATGTATTTGACCTAACAATCATTGCAGGCAGGCTACAAGATAAACTAAATTGTCTTGTTTTAAAGGCTCCACAGGATCCTTTAACCGACAAAGCTTGTTTCTAGTTGAGTTTGTGGGTTTGAATGCCATTTTTATTCCTGCCTTGTTAAGAATTCTGAGTAAGGTTTCCGAGGTTCCTTCTTTGTATGGAATTACTACTGATGATTTAGATTCCTTATTGTTGGTGTTGTCTTGCGCATATTTGACATACATGTCGTCATATAATTATTATTATTACTATTATCACTATCACTACTAACATTATTTATTTTATTTTTACATTTCCCTACATATTTCTTGACTAATTTATCAGGGTAATTATTAAGTTTCAAGGCTTCTCTTATATGTGTCACTTCCTGTCTTAGATTTTTTTTGGTACTACTTAGTTTTCGTGCTCTGTCACTTAAACATTTCACCAATCCTTAGTGTATAATTCTTATGGAAAGAGGTTTCATCTCACCTTGATGGGAATATTATATTCGATTCCTAGTACTTGTTCTGTACTAGAAAGATCTCTGATCCATGTAGTTGCCATACGACACTGTTGAGGTAAATTTAAGTATTCGATGTTATTATTATGGCACAGAACCATAGATCTAAAGACAAATAATCGTCTTTTTGCTATCTTTGTAGCGTTTTGTGACTGTTCATCCGACATTTATACAGTAGGATGCCAAGATCGATTCCTTGTGCTCAGACTGCAACTAATTGGTGTTGGTCTTAACATTTATATCTGATTGTATCATTCAAATGAAAGAAGGACAACTGACCTTTAAATTCCATATAATGAATGTGAAAAATGTCTGATATTCCTTAAAATAAAAGTTCAACACAAATTAGATGCAGATTAAGCTAACAATCATCATATACTGCACTTAGACTGAACATTAAGTAGAGTAACTAATGTCATACGTTTAGTCCTTCGTTTGCAGCAGACTGAATTCTTTCAGTTAAGTTTGCAATGTGGCCATCATGCCAGGTGGCTTGCCACCACGGTTTTCTCTGGACTGTTGTTTTTAGATGAATAGAGGTAATCGGCAAGTTTCGTAACTTTTTGGCACTCACCAGTCAGCAAGGCGCAATCGCAATCTTGGAGGAACTCATGTCTCTTCTGAGATTCGAACTTGGGCCACTAAGTGAAGCAGTCAGAGACGTTACCACTGAGCTATTCCGACCCGCGACTGAACTTCTAGACT